AGCCGGCGAAAACATCGTAGTAGCCGATCGAATGCGCCGGCCGCCGGCTCTTAAATAAACCCCTGTAACCTATGTGTATGGTTTACAACGGCAATAATTGGTTTATGTCAATCACCTTCCATAGGCTTGGTAAAACAAATGCGAAGGCTATCCGGTCATTCTGACCCAGGCCTCAAAATACTCTTATGCCAATTGTATAAGTTTCTTTTATTATCTTGCTTTCCATTGAATATATGGACCTGAAATTCATCTCTTTAATAAGCGAATTTTGTCAGTTTTGTCAAGTTGTTTCTTGTTTGCGCATGCGTAAGAATGAAAACATTCACATGACAAGAAGGTAGCACTTGGTGGCTTTTAGATCACCCTACGAGCTCATTAGACAGGTGTGGCGGTTTCTGTCACAATGGCAGAATAAAAAAGGTTTGGTTGTTCTTTTTCTCACACAATCAAAGACAAACCGTTACCAAAAGTAATTAAATGTTTCAGGATACAAAATGAACATTGGAAATAATTTGATGACACCAAAATATAAAACTTTAAAACTGTATTATTTCAACATAAATTTTAACATGTTCTCAAAAAGTTAGGTTAACATTTTGGAAAAAAAAACTTTTTAATTTTGAAAAAAAAAAAAAAAAAAAAAAAAAAAATTAATATTAGTCTAGTATAACAAATAAATTTGATATAATAATTTGCATGTGTGTGTTTGTGTTGTGTGTTGGTCTGTTTGTGATTGTTTTTTTGGGGTCTCTGTGTGCTTTTGTGTTCAGGCCTGCCCAAGGCAAGTTTTATTTTAATTGAATCTTCTCGGGCAAGTGCCTTCTTCCTTTTGAGTTGTTTCATAAACCCATCGTTTTTAATGATCTCTTTTTAAATTTAACTGCAAATGGAAGAAAATAAATGTATTTTTGAATTGAATTGAATTGAATAAACAAAATATTGTCATTTACTATTAACCAATCATCGTACAAAAATATAAAAATGTTACAATGTTGTAACATTCTCCTTTGAGAAGGATTACTACAATGTGGTTTGTAATGGTATATTATTCATTCATACTAAATTTGATCCAGTAATTTCTAAGTTATCAAGAATATATTTCTCACCTGTGTGAACTTAAAAAGCGCAAAAGCCGGAGCACTGTCCTCTGGGAACATGTAGCCGACGATGGAGTAGATTTGTGTATTGAAACAGCTGTCACCAAAACCGAGCAAAAATGCGCAAAGTAATGCAACACCAATGCTGAAAATATAAATTAAAATTAAGGAGAAAAATTTTCAATTAAAAAAAAATTATTTTAGTTTAAATTTGCTTTTGAACACATGAAACGTATGCTATACTTTGAAGCTTTAGTTTTAGAAAATTCCCAGTCTATAATTTGGTATGCAATGTTTAGAGAAACAAGTACAGCAGTGGTAAAGAGTATAAAATAAGAATTGTCCCATTGAGATTCAAACTTAAGATCCACACCCCACCCTCGATTACATACAGGAGCAGCTTGGCGCAGCGGAAATGGTTTGGTCGTCCCAACCTTCGGGTTAGGGTTGCAATCATTTGCTGTGAATTTTTCTTGTGTCCTTGAGCACTTTTTCTACAATGCTTCAATCTACCCAGTTGTATCAATGGTCAAGCTCCGTTTCAGCCAGGTTTTCTTAAAATCGCTACAATGTCGCTACAGTATTTTCAGTGCAATTGTGCTGCGTAGCAGTGCCTCCCCGATGCAATCGGGAAGGCTCCCTGATTCGACAAATCAGCATCACAAAAAAAGCTGTCGGAAATAGCGTGCTGCAAAGCTTTCCAAGCAAATTGCAGTGGACCAGATTATCATACTCTCATCCTGTTCACGCTACTTGAAACAGGGGAAAAACTCCAGCCCATATATGAGCCCCATGGATAGGGAAGAATTTACAGAACAATATATACTGTATGTGGTATATTATATGATACAGTGGCTTTTGTATTTTTTTTAATCTATTGCTTAATTACAGCATTACTTTCAATCAATGTATTAATTATATACTGTTTCGATACCTTGGTTGAATATATGAATTGCCCTCGGCTTTTTGAATTGGTGTTTCACTCGGTAAGTTTAGCAGGATAAGGTAAAACGAAATGATGTGTACTACGTAACCCAAAAGCACAATAGGATCACGGCCGTATTTGTTGGTCTTATCACCAAGAATTCCAAATGTAGCGCCCCCAATAATCTCACCACAACCGATCAGAGTGCCCACTAGTCCAATATAGCCTTTAGCCTTCTCACCCCAGATGCCAACATTTCCAATACTTGTTCCATACACACCACTAAAGAATGTCAATTCAAGACCTATTATAGGAGAAAAAATTAGGACACCAAAATTCTATTGTTATATTTTTCTAAATGTTCATATTTAAAGCCATATTTATAGCGACTATAAAGAAACTATGTTGTATTTTTCAGAGCAGTAAAAGTAGGATTGAAAGTAGAATTTGAACAGCACATCTGTACAGTAGGTTAAACTTTGCTGGTGAGTGTACTAAATGCACATCGCTTTAAAACTTTCACAACCTGTATATAGGCTGACTACACATGCGCAAATTATTTCATTTCATATTTCATTTTCAACCAAGGGCTTGGTGAAATGAAAACAAAATATTGTATATTTATATTTGAACTATAATATTATGCCTGACAGGGGCGGATCCAGAGATGTCCAAAAAGGGGGGGGGGCCGAAATTCGGGCAGATCAAGACAACAATGTCCTAGGGGGTCTGGGGGGCATGGCCCCGCGAAATTTTTGTGTTCTAAACGCCCGAAAATAACATTTGAGGCGTTGTGGGCTATCATTTTTTTCTTTCTTTTTTTCATTTTTTCTTTTTAAAATCCGCCCCTGTCTGACATGCTGAAACCAGCTTTAGTGACAAAAACATATACTTTTTAATGTATTCATATTCTTCACATTGTAAGCTTTAAAATGATGTGTCATTTTCTTGAATCAACTCACTATTGCCAAAGTCATGAGTAAAAGTATTATTGCTTCTCTGTACTAAAGTATACAATGCTGTCACATCCTTATGCTAATTACTCAGTTGTACTTGATTTTGGGATGACCAGCCTCGTATTATAAGCTCTTTAAAATATCATAAATCCTATGTATTATTATTTATCAAGAATGGTACCTTTTATATAACCCTCTCCTCAAGTCCCTTTATTATTTTTTCTTAATCTGAACAGTGCAAACCAACAACTTAAACACTGAATGAAGGTATCTGAATGCCCAACGATGACATAATCTTATACTCTATATTTGGATAAATGGACAGACTGATATATACAATTTCATCTATC